CAGGCAATATTTCAAGTCACTAGTTCAAGTCCAGGAACAGGAGATGATGATGAGCCTGATGCAGGATCCACATGTAGCAGGAAGCTACGGAACTTTGCCCGGATGTCCATATATATATATATATTGGAAGCAAGCCATACCCCTGTGGAAACTCCCTTTCAATAGATTGGCTACTCATAGTACATCTCATCAGGGAGATGATTACATTATATCAGATCTTATCATGGGAGATGGCTACATCATAACTGTTAAACTACTGAGATTCATAGTGCATCCAAATTGACACACAACTTTAACTATCACACACTATTCAAATATATAAAACATTGTAATAAAACATAATTTGAATGATAGGAATTGATAAGATTTTGCTGCAGTCATGCTAAGAGGAAAATTTTTTTTTTATCCACATTTTTAAGATGTGGAAATGTGAATTCTTGTTGAGAAGCAAGATTTTATACTACTTATTATTTTAAGGAAAAATACTATGTTATTTTTAATAGACAAGTGTTCAAATTGCTAATATACATTGGCAGGAAAATTGTAAGATCATCTCATCTCAGTTTAATTAGATATTCTTACATAGAATTTGTGATTTTCTCAAGAACAAAATATAAGAATTTGAAGTTGTTTATACACTTTCTACATTAATTTTACTTGTGCATGATTGGACAGTAATACAGTCTAATGTTGACAACTTATAAAAATTAATTTCATCTTTACAATATGAAGATATCAAAATACAACCAAAAACACTGCCATTGAGTCATTTCCAACTCACAGCAACTTCCATTGGTTTTCTGAGGCAGTAAATCTTTACTGGAGTAGATTTCCCCATCTTCTTTCCATGGAGTGGCTGGTGGGTTTGAACTGCCAACCTTATGATTAGCAGTCAAATGCCTTCAGCACTGATATAGTGGTAAAAATATATATATTTTGGTAATTTTAATAATGTATGGACAAATTTTAATTGAACTAGAGGACTAGATATTAAAACGTTTTTTTAAAATTTTTAATGTACTTCTTTACTGATTCATGAGAGTTGTAAAGGATGCCTTATGACTCTTCCTAGTTTTTATTCAATAACTCATTTGAATGTCATGTAATACGTATAGTTAATATTAGATAGAATTTCATTAGTGTCATGAAAAAGGCAACAACTAAAGTGCTTAAATCAAATATGTTTACTTCTCTCTAAAAATCAAGGTGATATGGGACTGAGTATAAAGGGCTTCAAAGTTATTTACCGGGGTCCACTCAGCAAATTCTGGTACCCATATCTCTGAAACAACTTGTTATCTATGACCTTTCTGATAAATAGTTTGTAAGCCAAGTATAAGGTTAAGATTTAAGGCATCCCACATGGAATAGAAGAGCTCTTCTAGTTTTGCAGTTAAA